TCTGGTCATCTTGCCAGGCCTTTCTCAAGCCCATGTAAAGCCACTTTTAGAAACATTTTTCTTCTAGACATCTTGCCAGGCCTTTCTCAAGTCTAAGCAAAATCAATTACACATGTCTCTCTCTTCTGGACATCTTGCCAGGCCTTTCTGAAGCCCACGCAAAGTGAATTACACATGTTTTTTCCCATTGGCCATCTTGCCAGGCCTTTCTCAAATCCATGCAAAGTCAATTTTACAAACATTTTTCTTCTGACCATCTTGCCAGGCCTTTCTCAAGCCCACGCAAAGTCAATTACACATGTCACTCTTTTCTGGACATCTTTCCAGGCCTTTCTCAAACCCACGCAAAGTCAATTACACATGTCTTTTTCCTCTGGCCATCTTGCCAAACCTTTCTCAAACCCACGCAAAGTCAATTACACGTTCATTTCTTGAGCTTATGGTAACCTTATCTTTTGCACGCTTTTTCATCGGTAGATGGAATTTCTTGAGCTTATGGTAACCTTATCTTTTGCACTCTTTTTCATCGGTAGATGGCACACCTTCCCCCCACTCAAAATGCGATGTCCCCATCGCACAACTGGTTTTCACTTGGAGGTACGCAGACCTTGCCCTGCCAACTAAATAGACGAATGCCGGCCCATCAGCCTAAAAAAGGAAGGGTGATCAGCCCTCCCCCGCTGATAACTCACCTCATCCTCTACTCTGGTCCGGCGGCCACTTCTTTGGAGATGGGCATCATCATTGAGGTGTCTCCTCGCATCTGTTAGGCGGGTCCAGTCCACGCCTCCCAGGACCCCGTCATGCCACAAGTGGCCCCCTTGCGAATCGTTCCTCCCAAGTGGTATTTTCTTGGATCCGGCCTCTTCCTTTCAAGAGAGTTGGGGCTCTCTATTAGTCTGCGAGTGCAGTTACGAAGACCTCGCGGTAAGTCCCGGAACGGTTGTAATGATCCGGCAGGGCGGTGTCACTCGTCCTGTGGTGGATGCGGATTCCACCCGGTACCACGCCGAGCCCCTCCCGTTGGACATTGTCACTCAACTTAACGCGAGCAACCTTGGTCTATCCCAAACGGCCACGCCGCCCCTCTACGATATGACGTGTGGTTGGGGGAGCAAATGAGACTTAGGAAAATAATGGCTCTCACGCCCGTTTGGCTCCATGCCCTTGACGTTTTGGTTCTCAACATGAGGCGCAGTTTGAACTCCGCGACTATAGCTCTTTGTCGGAATTAGTTCCGGACGGCGAGCACCAGCCGAAGAGAAAGATGCCTTGGTCCTTCAACCCTTACCCTTCCTTATGAGGGATAGGTCGCGCTGAGACTTTTCCCTTGACGGGTAGAGGTCTTGGGGTCGCGGTGCGTGCACCGGTATCCCCCTCTTGTTGAGGCCTGGGACTAGAAAAAACAAAACTCCTTTCAATGCAATTTCCATGGTCGGCCCGACGACCTTTCCTCAAATAGCCTAGGGTCCCCTGGTTATGCAATCCAATGCTTTTTCCAGTTCTTTCTCAAGGCCGACTCTCATGGCTGGTCCGACAGTCTCTCTTCAACAGGGCCACCCCTTTGACCGATCTGGTGGTCGTTTTTTTCAATAGCCATCTTTCAAGGCCGACCCGTCGGCCCACCTTCAATCCTCAACTTTCACATTTTCCCAATATCCAATCCTTATGACCGTCCCAACGGTCTATGCCCTTCTCGACTTAAGGCTCGGCCTGCCCTTCTCATTCCAAGGCATCATTTTTTTTCGTCCATTCTTATGGCTATTTCAACGACCGACCCACCGACTTTTTCTATTTCACATTGCTCATTCCAACTCGTTCTCAATCAATCCTTTCTCAATCAGTCATGCAGGGGACCCCATTGCCTATTTCGAAAGAAATGACCCTTGTCAGGGGTAATTTCCGAACAACCTGGTTAGGGTCTTTTTTTTCCATTCTCAACTTGAACAGCCTGGTTAGGGCCATTCCTTTCAATTCTCAAGTCGATTCCTTTCCATTCTTAAGTCGAACAGCCTGGTTAGGGTCATTCCTTTCCATTCTCAAGTCGAACAACCTGGTTAGGGCCATTCCTTTTCCACTCCAATGTTAGCGCCCGAGGGGGTGAGCCTCGAGGACACGGATCCCATTTCTGTCTTGGGGGTTAGAAGGTGGCCATCTCTTGCAATTTTATGTGTGCGGTTTCCTTTGTCCATTTCTCAATCATTTACTGTCCATGCAAACATCTGATTGAGCGTCTAGTGCTCAAATGGAGGCTCACAACCCGAAGTAGCACTAGCCCACCTGCCCGTTCAACCATAGCAAAAGACAGGGGCACCCCCTTTATTTTCACTCTTTCTGGTCTCTCGACTCTTGGCTATTTTCAGACTCATTCATGACTCAGTTGGATTAGGCTCCTAGGGAAGGAGTGTTCTTCACGCCCCTTAACCCATAGGTTCCCTAGCCTCTCTCGTATTCGACCCGCTTTCAATGCCTTGCTTTGCTTGTCAATCTGCACTCACAGTTTCTTCTAAAAAAAAACAGAATCCTCATTCCATCCAAAGTTCACAGTACACCCTTACCAACCAGTCTCACCCCATGCCCCGCGTCATTGTCTTGCATATACTCTTTCGAAGGTAGCTCATTCAAAAACTAGCCTCAAAATGCTATCTTCTAACCTGTCGTGGCACAATCTTAGCTAGTCCTTTCATCACTCATTCAAGCAAAGCTTACTCATACTATACAAACTTTGTCATCTCAAATTTGCAAAAAGAAAAGCACAATTCTTGTTCAACGCTGATAACATCTAATCCCTTCAGCTATCACGTGTCTCATCTTGCTCGACCCCCTGCCCATCCTGCCTTTCTACTGGCTTTTTAACTCTCAGGCCAGAGGCCAGAATTTTTCTCTTCCTTTTCACAATTCTTTGCAATTCCATCTCACTGTAAAAATCCAAAGGCGTGGCCGCCAGGGTTGTCACCCGGGGACCCCCGAGGGCAAAGCCGGGGCCGTGATTTCACCCCCGGACCCCCTCCCGTGGGGGCGCAAACCCCCGGACCCCGTTGAAGACCCCCGCACCCGCCCGACCCCTGGCACCCCAGCGGGACCTCGGCCCCGACACCCAGCACCCCGGGGCCCCGGCCCCGGAACCCCCGCCGACCCTGGCCCCGGACCCCCGGTCCCCGCACCCTCCCGGCCCTGGCACCCGGGCCCCGCATCCCCGGTCCCCGCAGCCTCCCGACCCCCGCCAACCCCCGACCTCCGACCCCCGATGCCCGAACCCTGCCGACTTTTTTTTGGGGGGGGGTCCAGAACCCCTAATAATATCACCAACACCGGGAACACCCTGCATTTTTTCTTTTTTTTGGGGGGGGTCCAGAACCCCTAATAATATCACCAACACTGAGAACACCCTGCATTTTTATTTTTTTCGGGGGGGGGTCCAGAACCCCTGATAATATAACCAAAAAAATTGAGCATTCGAATTCTTTGTTAAATTGTCCTTTTCCCGAACGTCTCAAGAGACGTTCAGCCAATTTCACGTGAGAATGGAGCAGGCTAACAATATATGTTCTGGATCCGAAGTCAGGTCTGCTTTCCAACAGATTCAACAGTTATGGTTACACATTACAACTACTTACTACCGTAGCTCTCTTATTTCTTTGTTTCGTTTTCCTACGAGCAGTGGCCCTAAGGGCCTTGCTCCACCCGTCACTACTTGCACAAAAGACAAAACATTTGGCAGCGTATGAGTCCATGTTCTAGCAGAAGATTCATTCCTCTATTTTTTTTGCTTCCTTTTCCTACGAGCAGTGACCCTAAGGGCCTTGCTCCACTCGACACCACTTGCACAAAAGACAAAACATATGGCGACGTATGGTTCCATGTTATAGAAGAAGATTCATTCCTCTCTTTCTTTTGTTTCCTTTTTTTTTTTTTTTTTGAAAATTGTTTCCTTTTACTACGAGCACAACACTTGCACAAAAAACAAAACATATGGCGACGTATGGTTCCAAATTATAGCAGAAGATTCATTCCTCCTTTTCTTTTGTTTCCTTTTTTTTTTTTTTTTTTTTTGGGAAATTGTTTCCTTTTCCTACGAGCAATGGCCATAAGGGCCTTGCTCCACTCGTCACCACTTGCACAAAAGATAAAACATATGGCGGCGTATAGTCCCATAACTCCTGAAACGCGGACCTTAATGTGAATCAACAGCATATATACTTGGTGTGCCATGACTCTGATATGAGCATTATCTCGTTCAGGGTGAGGTGGCCCTTACTAATTATGTGTAAGGGCCTCTCAAATAGCCCCCAGGGGTTCTGAAAGAAATGTTAAAGAGCAATTTGTTTCCCCTTCTCCCCCAACCCCACCCCACCAACCCCCCCTC